CCACTGTTCACTGCCTCTGGCTTTATACGTAGATAATAATAATAAATAGATTGATACTTGCAGGATTTGATTAAGTATTCAAGTCATCGAGAAACTTCAAATTTTTGACTTATTTTTTTTTCCACATTAAAGATGCGAGCATCTGCCGAATTTGCTTAACCTTTTCTGCCTACTATTTTTATTACAGGTGGTGTTATTGCTACCTGCATTAGAGGATTCAAGATTTGAATATTGGATGGTCTCAATGTTAACGGTGTAAAGTTTATATATACAGAGACATAATGCAAGAAGCTCACAAAAAATTCAGTTTATTTATTGAGATATTTTTCTTTCTAAAAAAAGAGACAATTGGTGACAAGTCACGGTTATTCACCTATTTCGGGCCTAGAGAAGTTATGGGGAATTTCACCATGCTCATGACCTATTTATTGAGATATTCTGTTGAACACTTGAGGAGTGATTTTGAGATAATTTGTTGAGTGTTGCTCATGCAACCTATCAAGATATGTCTGGCACATATTACATCAAACACTTGGTAGGTATAAAGGGACCGTAAAAAATATTCAGATGATCATTGAAAGACCTTCAAGTGTATATTTTTTAAACTCAGGGTGATCCTGGATTATCTACATACTTTTTTGTTTTTTACACATTTCTTATTAATTTCTGTTATTTAATATTCTTCGCTCGTATGATTTGGTGATAAAAATTTAAAAAATGTGGAAAAGATAAATGACATGTTCGAATAGCATCTCCCTATTTTTAAATCTAAAATTCCTTGTTCTGGACTCTTATGAAATTTGTCGGTTTTCGAAGTTTGGAAGCCATGACGCTTGAAGGAACAAAATCCACACGCAACGAACTCCACACATAGTATAGTTTTCTTCATTGGAAAAGCAAGCTCCGACAGCCATACGAGTAATAATTAAATACAACGAGGCGTATCTTATTTTAAATATTTACGGTATCTGGTTTTTTAATTTAGTTTTCAGAATTGGTGACTCTGATGTGATCTACGTCATTGGTTCATGAGTTGACACTGTCTGGTTTTTTCTGACATGAGGATCACAACCATACACGTGTCTCTGATTTTAAAGATGCACGCTTGGCCACGGGGTCGTTCCTCTGTCTCTGTTTAGATTTCTTCTTTCAGTATTGTTGATCGGGTTCTCATCATCAATAATACCTGTATCTTTTTAAATAAGATCACACAATTGTAAAGCGAATGCCACTTGTCAATAACATATGCTATTTTTAGTTTATTTGGCAACGATAATAACCTAAATCGCGTATGAGAACCAAGTTGGTAACGATAATTTATGTTTTTGCAATTCATATAAAAGAGAGTTAAAAATTAGTTTACGCAACATCTTAACGGTCATTTTTAGAAAGTTTTAACGACAAGCTCGCGATATTGTTCACTTTAATAAAAAACTATATTTTTACACTAAAAAGTAAAACCTGATACTATTCACTTTACCCTTTATTTTGTCCTTATCATTAAAACTCAAAGTTTTCAATCCTTTTTTATTAGTTTTCATTCATTTTTATCTATTGAGAAGTAACAATATACAAATACGATTTGATATATGTAGTAATTTGTCACACTCTCTTATGGTACTCTTATTATGAGCATAAAAATAGTTAATTTGAGATGTTAGAAACTAAACTGAAAGTGCGAAAATCGTTACTCTATCTCAGGTCTTTGAGACTCTAACTATAATTGGATTATTCATGTTTTTGCAATCCACATGCTAGAGAGCTTAGAATCAATTCAAGCGACTTATCTTAACCCTCTTCTTATTTAGATTTAAAAAAAAAAAAAAAAAAAAAACACTACACAAATAGTACTATTCAATATTATATAGCAATTGTCACACTGTTAGTTAGATATTGCTAATTAACACAAGTCGTGCAGGAGACATGAATTGATAACGTTCATTCATCGTTTTTGCAATCCATATAACAGAGAGTTTATAATCAGTTTACACGACATCTTAACGCTTCCTTTTTTTTCATAGAGAAATAACAACACACAAATATTATTGGATATATGTACTCTTATTGTATTCTCAATATAAGGCTATAAGATGATTAATTTGAAGTTTTAAAATTGAGAGAGCGAAAATCGTTACTTTATGCATGTTAGATCGTTGAGACTCGTAGTAATGGAGTAGTGTGATAGAAAATAATCATTTTAATATGATAGCGACCAAATAATAAAACAACACGGTGGGATGCTGTTCTTTAGAGGTATGGACTGCAGGGGGGTCCTATAGGTGGGGAACAAGCTGAGAACAAACACTGTGATGACCATGGTGGGGGTGTTGCTCTACTTTTATGTTAGATTTTTTAGGTTTTGTGGAACTTGGCTGAACCAGGGGGGCCACTGCCCCCCAATGAAAAATGTGGTACTAAAATTGATTCTTAAAAGTGGCTTTACTCACATGATCATGATCAGAAGCTCCACTATGTGAGAAAAGTTAAATAAATACAAATTGGATTATTAAGTAGTAAAAGAATTACGGTATATGCATGTGAACAAATGTGAAAGGGTCTGAAAATATTACCTGTTGAGAATAAATTTACAAGATAATTTGTGTACTTAATACATTTACTAAATAGCTTTATCATCTAACAGTTATACATGATAATTTATTTTTCTAATTATATACTAGCATTTGTCTACATATTTTATGTGTATGGACACATTTTTTTGAAAATGAGAAGAGAGGGAAAGAGAGAATGTGGGGGGAGTGGAGGTTTTTGTTTTTAGTTTTTTTTTTTTTTAATTTTTGAGTTTTAATATTGGAGATATTTTAACATCACCTGTAGGTGAGGTTTCAATAAAAAAAAAAGTAAATTTTGGACCTGTGAAATTACATTATTGCCCATCATTTTTTTGTGTGATAGAAGACTAAGTTATCTTTTTACCGTCTTTTGACTGACAAAGAGGATTTCATTAATTGGCAGAGTGTCACATCCCCGCCCGGGGCGGATCACTTCCCGGGCCCGCTCCACCACCTAGCACGATATTGTCCGCTTTGGGCTTACCATTCCCTCACGGTTTTGTTTTTGGGAACTCACGAGCAACTTCCCAGTGGGTCACCCATCATGGGATTGCTCTAGCCCCTTTCTCGCTTAACTTCGGAGTTCCTACGGAACCCGAAGCCAGTGAGCTCCCAAAAGGCCTCGTGCTAGGTAGGGATGAGAATCTACATATAAGGATCACTCCCCTGGACGATGTGGGATGTCACAATCCACCCCCCTTAGGGGCCCGACGTCCTCGTCGGCACACTCGCGACCAGGGTTAGGCTCTGATACCAAATTGTCACATCCCAGCCCGGGGCGGATCACTTCCCGGGCCCACTCCACCACCTAGCACGATATTGTCCGCTTTGGGCTTACCATTCCCTCACGGTTTTGTTTTTGGGAACTCACGAGCAACTTCCCAGTGGGTCACCCATCATGGGATTACTCTAGCCTCCTTCTCGCTTAACTTCGGAGTTCCGATGGAACCCGAAGCCAGTGAGCTCCCAAAAGGCCTCGTGCTAGGTAGGAATGAGAATATACATTTAAGGATCACTCCCCTGGACGATGTGGGATGTCACACAGAGATTATTAAATAATGAATGCCGGTCCCATCAAAATTACCAATGTGAAGGAAAAAGTAGAAGATAAATTTTTTTGATGGATTATGTGAATAATAATGTGATTTAAGGGCCATGTCTTTTGTTTTTGGATAGTACCATTCATATTCTCTTTTTCATTTTTATACACTCTGGTTATTTTTTGTCTATTAATAATTTTCAATTTATTCATTCTAACGGTTAAAAATTAAAAAAAAAATCTAAAAAGTAAAAGATAGATATATCCCCCCCCCTCTCTCCCAGGGGGTGCTTTTCAATTTTGTTTTTTTTTTTTCTCTACTAAAATGCAATGACTATGACTTCTTGTTATTGGTATGAAAAATCCCTCTTTCTAAGTTTTTCACTTTTGTTTTGTTTTTTTTTTTTTTTTTTCCTACTAAAATGCAATGACTATGACTTCTTGTTATTGGTAGGAAAAATCCCTCTATCTAGACATATATCCACTTGAGTGACTAGATAACACGTGTTCAAGTCATGGTGTTATTTTCATTGTGAAGGCAATGACTGACTTTAACCTTTGTAGCGCGCTTTTATAATGTGTATTTTAATTAGTCAATTGTGTTAACAAATTATAGGATGGGAATAAGTCAATCACTCTGTTCACATTTTTTTTTTTTAAGGAAAACTAATGAAAATAGCTTGAAAATTTTGAGTTTTAACGATAAGGACAAAATAAAGGGTAAAGTGAATAGTACCATAATTGACTTTTTAGTGTGTAAATGTGATTTTTCCTTAAATGAACAGTACCATGAGTTTTTTGTTAAGGTTTCATTTTTTTTATACAAACGATTATTGTAGATGAAAATCACACATGGCGAAGCCACTAAGAGATCATAGGGGTTCGGGTCCATTCTGACTACAGTGCGACATGAGGAAGAAGGTTGATTATTCCTCGTGAATATTGTACAAACTCGACCATTTCACAGTATTGTTTAACTGTTTCGAATATCAGCACACGCTTTAGAATATGATCACATACCTTTCAGCTGCCGAAATTTGTCGCATACAGTGTTAGTCATACGAGTTTATAAGACTTTGGTTCGTTAGAATGCCAAGAAATACTCAAATTTAATCACATTTCCAAATAAAAAAGAAGTTAAACACAAACTAATTAAGAAAGAACAAACCCAGGACTCATCGTAACAATAACGGAATTTTTTGTTTACGGAGACTCTATAGAAAATGAGAAACACAAACTTGTTTTAGTTTTTCACACACTCTTGTTTGATAATGTTTATTATTCGTTTGATTTAATCAATCTAACAACTAGAAATAAAAAAAAACATGTAAAAAACTAAAAAGAGCGAAATCATATAACCAATTGACCTAACCAATATAGACAAAAGAAAATGAAAATAAAAAACATTAATTGAAAGGACCAAATAAATTAACAGTAATTGACAGGGGAAGAAACAATTTCAATTTGCTCTCCCTCTTTTTTTTTCCTTTGTATTTTTCCCATCTAAATAAAAGTAAAAATAAATAATAACTGTTAATTCTAAGCTTCCAAGAAACCAGTCATTCTGAGAATCGAATTCCGGACTCGACTCAAATCCCTTCCTTTAAGCGTCCGCCCGTTTCCTGTGCACAGGGAGAACGCCATCTTCCCGGCAATTCGCCGGCGCACGATCAGATGCGGCGGCACCATTTCTCCCCCGTCCCACTCCTCCTCCTTGTAGTAGTCTCCGTCGCTGTCGTCCTCGGAGCCGCTGAACATGTTGTTGGGGATTTTCACCGGCACAGACTTGATAATATTATTGTTGCTGTCGTTGTTGTTAATCTTCCCCATTTTCTTCTTCTTCGAGAAATTCGACTTGTCGTTTTGATGGTGACGCCGGAAATCCAAGCAGGTCTCGAAGTCGAGATTATCCACGGAGAAGATGACCTCAGATTCTTGAAACTCGTTGTCGGCCATGGCTAGATTCATAGAGCTAGAGCTGAAAGGAGGATTAACAATATTTGAGAATTTGATTGCAACGAAATATAAATGGAAGTTGGGTTTATGAGAAGCTTGGATTTTCGCAGGGTTTATATAGAGAGAGGAAGAGGAGGAAGAGAAAGAAATGAAATGGGGGAATCTAATCGTAGCGAGTACACTTTGATTGTTAATTTGTGTTGTCAGATGGCGTCACTGTTTAAGGGAAGGGCATTGAGTGCGGTCCCCGCCAGCCTTTTTTTCATTCAAATTAAATCCCTCTCCATTAATTTTTTTATTTAATAAAAAATCCAAATAATGATTTTAGATTGAATGACGATTTCGAGTCTTTTTTTTTTTTTGACTGGATGATGCTCTAAGCTACTCTAATTTATGAGAAAACAAATTCGAACTTTGATGCTCGGGAGTAAATACATTGTCCTGGCCAATCAATGTAATCCACGTTTATAATTTGACGAGTCATATATTTTCAGTTTTTTAGCCAAAATAATCTCGGAAATTGACATAACTCATCACTTTGGTCTTTGAGATTTGAAATCGATAGAAGTGATCATGATTTTGTCCACCATCAATTATTTTAGTCATTCAGTGAAAAATCTTCATTAATTAAGAACAATGACAAAAATACTATTGAAGGTGGACAAACTCAATAATCAATTATATTAATTTTAAATCTCAGAGAGCAAAGTGAGAAGTTATGTCAATCTCAGGGATTATTTTGGATAAAAAGTCTATATTTTCACCTTTCGCAATTGAAGCCTTGTAGTTTTAGTCCTTGTTGGGTATCAAAGATTGAATTGATATAGTATGTTGAAGATAGAAATAAAAAATAGTGTCTTGAAAATAAAAGATGAATTACTCATTAAATAAATTGTATCCATTAAAATTCACCACAAAATAGTAAAATGAGAAAAATAAGTTTCTTTCGTGTCTCTAAATCTCCTCGTCATACTCTCAATCTCAAAAATATTCACTTCCACCTTTAATTTACCCTGCATATTACGAGTAACCCAATCCATTCCTCTTCTAGACATCCAACAAGTCCTATGTCACGTATTTTTTTTTCTATTTAAGAACAATAGTTTAGTTTATATGTTTATCTTCAACAAAATTTAGTACGATGGTAACATATGTGAAGAGGATATATTGGCCTCTTAGAGATGTAATGTTTCTCAATTGCAACACTAAAAATATGTTATAAGAACTGAAGTTGAACTTCGTCCAAATTCCAAAAACCAATATTATAGTGTGGCCGTTTTTTGTTACAAGACAAAGGGGTAGGGAAATAAACTGGTATCGACCTTGTCATTCACAAGGCTCGAATCTAAAATCTCTTACTTACAAGTAATGAGAAATAGCACTCAATTATAGTCTTAGTTTAATTATTGTTGTAGCCTTTCTAACTTCGTCTCTCATTCTATTACCTCACGGCTCTTCTCTTTTTCTTAGCTAATTAACTGCACATTGACTTGGTGTGTTTTTGGTTGCGGTGGGTTCCGTTTTCCACCTTCCCTTTTGGTCAAAAATTGAGTTTTTTGAATTTAAATTTGTACCCATTTGTTTCAAACACGGATGCAGGGTGCTTGGGCAACAGTGCCCGCATGGTCAATTGACAATTGGTACTGTAAAAAATCTTTTGAGACACACCTATTAATACTGGCTTAATTTTTTATTTTCTGTTGAATAAAAACAGTAAATGCAGAATGATTATTTGGCTTTGAAAGATTTTTTAGTGTGTTGGGAATATAAGAAGGAACACCATATATTATTGCACAACTGAAGTGAAACTTGAAAAAAAAAAAAAACACTACTCCCTTATGACGTGGTGTTCTGCCAATGATACGAGCACACTAAAATATCTCTCATTTGGCTTCATCGCATCTTTCACATGGTATGTAATGATGTCAATGTTTTGTGATGTGTTGAAATTTTGTGTGTGTGTGTAATGTAGTCATATCCTTATTAATTTCATAATATTACTACAATCTTTAGAATACTAATCTCGTATCTGATTATTGATTAATACAAAAGAGCGAAAATAAACTCCCATGTATAAGTCTTTAATCCCGTATCTGAATCAGTAGCAAAGTACGTTGCATTTTATGACGAGAAATAACAAATCATATTCGAATGACAATGTCTCTTTGTTTCCACTTGTTTTGGTTTTTAAGTTTCATTTCCATGAATTCAAGGAATATGTATGTGCGCGATGAATTCGATATTCGATTGTAACAAACTCGGTTGTAATGTTGTGGGTTTTACTATATATGGTTCATCATAAGGTTGTGGGGCTTATCTGGAAGTTCTTTTAAAACAATTAAAAGTGTTTTTAGAATAATCGAAAACATTTTTAATTCAAAAACACTTGAAGTACTTCATACAAGAAATACTTAATGTGCATTTTTAGAACTCATTTACATCTTACTAAGAATTGATTCCTTAAAAATACTTCCAAACCTGTAAACGTCAAGATTTACCAACCATGGAAGCAAGAACTGTAGGTGAAACATAATTGCATGAAGATCGAATGAACGTTGACGTTCAAACTCCACCAAAAATGAAATATTCTACAGGATATTATTCATAAGAAAAAAAACAAAAAAAGAAGTACACAAAATTTGAGAGAGCTAGTTGGCAAGCCGAGCCAAGTTGCTTGCAGTAATCAATCAGCTTGCGGTGACTTGTGAGATCTGTACATTCAGCAATCATTGGGTGGTTAAAGCGTCGGTGTAAAGCTACGGATCAGCCAGCTCGGCGCATCCTGCGGCTCATGCTGCGGGTCAGAGCGGGGCCCAGCCCCCGAGAGCGTTGGGTGCGGTCCACCTAATTTATCCAATTATCGCAAAATGCGGCCTTGAGCATACGACAAAAACCACTGGAAGAGGGACACGTGGTGGATGGCATCAGCCGGACAACACAGGGTACACGAGCGCGGGAATATGAATGATTGGTGCTTGAATGCCACGTTGACGCCGTTGCTTTCGTGTAATAATTAAGTGAAGCAATCTTAGGACTTCTTAAGTTTTGGTGTTGATGTTTAGGAAGCAAACAAAACCAATCAATCAAGCACTAGAGAATATGGACATTTAGGGGTTTTCCTTCGATGAAGAGTTCGTTATCATCCTTTAAATTAAGAAAATAATTTTTAACCAATATGATTCATGAGATTGTCTATTGTCAATCTTTTAGTTTTAAATTTTTTTCGCTAAATTGAAGAAACTACCAGTTCAAGAGTAAGGTTTGTTTTGACAAAAATACACCCAATTTAACGGAAATTCCTTACAAAATGACAAAATGATTGACGGTGTATAATTTCAAGGATCACTTCTATCGATTTTAAATCTAAAAAATTAATGTGAAGAGTAATCCAATCTCAGAAACAATTTTGGATAAGAAGCCTTAAGAAAATAATGAAGTTACTTTCATTTGAAGGTAAGAACACAAAGCTGAAAAATTCTTGTAGCTAGGTGAGTGTAATTAGGGTTAGATTAATGAACTAACACGCGTTATAACTTTTTTTGTTTTTGATTTTTCAGGTAAAATCACATTATATGTAAACAGTGCAGTGTTTATGCTTTCAAGTAATTAAGAATATTAAGTTCATTATGCACTCGAGGTCTGTTCAATTTTCCCTTTCCCCTCATGTAAACAAAATGTAAAATCACATCATTTAGTCTCATTCCAATTTAATTTGTAATTTTTTTTCCAGTCATGAATAAATTCGAACTTATGACCTCTTTCAGTATTGGGACGAGAAAACAACATTTACATCAAGAACCAGTTGAGTCATCAAGCTACTCATATAATTTGAACGAAAATTATTTTTCCTTTTCTGTTTAATTCTTATTGGTAAGATTTTGCAAGTGGTAATGCATTTATTTTAATTTTACATGCTAACAAAACATAGAAAAGAAGAAATAACTGTAATTTTTTTCACAAATTGGAAGTAGGGTTTGTCTTAACTACTCCTTCAAGTACAACATTGTCCATAGGGGATAAGGGAGAAAATGCTATATGAACTAATGCCAGAAGAATAAGTAAGCAAACAAGCAATAATATAATGCAGAAGTGTGCAAGTGTATGGTCCATGGGAGAGCTGGTTTTCCTTTGACCTAGTTGGATAGACGTACATATAACTCTTTTTAGTGAAAACGACTAAGCACGAGGCCTGGAATTTGAGTCTCTGGTGGTTTGGTATTGGTAGATAGATATTTTTATATGTCTGTTATACTGGATGAATAAGACTTCGATCTCATCTCTACTGATGATTTTATTTAGTCAGTGTCATCACATAATTAAGACTCGGCGACCAGTTATGAATTAATCAATTTTTTATATTATATTTGAAAGTGTTTTTAAAATGACTGAAAATGATTTTAGAACCAATCTTTCAATGAAAAACGCAAGTGAATCTTGAAAAAACACTTAAAGCGCTTCCTAGAAAAAAACATATATATAACTGGCGTTTATTTCAGAAAGCACTTCAAGTTCTTTTGGAATAAAAAATTAATTGTTTTACAAGCAATTTTAGTCATTTTAAAATCACTTCTAAATGAGCCATAAAAATTAATTTGAAACCACAATTGAAAAATTAATTAAATTATAAAGTTTCCACAGGGGTGTGTTGCTGAAGTTGTATGCATTTATCTCTATGCCTTTTGTTCGATTCTCTCGTTTTTTTGGTATCACTTGTATAGAAAAAAGATTAGATCACAATTTTCGGTCCATTTCGCAGAAAAGAACGAAAATTCAGCGATTTGAAACCCACCATAGACCCTATATGTGCTTACCTGTTGGTATACTTGTATAAAATGCTAAGTTGAAAAATAAAAAGAAAAAAAATTTCAGTGGCCTTCGTAATTATTCTTTCCTTAGAGTTATGGTAATATAGATGGATACACAAAGATATGAGGAGGTATAATAATGAACATACATTATATTTGGGTCTCACCGATATTCTACGAAACCTTATGATATAGAGTGCATGTGATGTACAGATTTTCGAAGTTAAGTACAATTTTTTTCTTTAAAAAAAAAAAAAAAAAAATCAATCGGTGGCTTTGCAACGGCAGTGCATCCTTTCAGTGGTCGAAAAGATTTGCTTAGGCACTTTAGCCTCCCTGATCATCATCGTGTAATTCACAAATGTTAGGAATCAAACTTAGAACGTACTATGTGAAATACGGGTCTGAAATCATCCAAATTACTAGGCTACCTGTGGTGACTAAATTAATAACAATTATTGCAGTTATGTTCAGCATACGTAATACTATGCTTTCACATCATATCATCCGATCTCGAAAAAAATAAGAACAAGATTTGGAGCTAGTTGTCACTAGTTTACAAAAGCACGCAAGCTAGGCTCAACTGATCATCTGAAAGTAGTTGTTTTTCATAATTTGTTTTCATTAACAATTACAGAGCACGAAATTAGTCCCCCAAAATCTGGAACTTTGAAGACCTTTTTTCTTCTAGGAATTATATTTTAATAATTCATGAAAAACATTGAAATTTTACTTCTTTGCTTTGTTTATTGGTAAAAAGAATAGATTTTTCAGCGTACCAGGAATATAATACACTAAGCCTCATAAACATAACGTTCCTGAAAATTGTGGAAAGAATGTAGTTGATGATAAAAAATAAAAAAATCCTTGGGAGTCCGCTTGTGTTGGTCAGATTAAAGCTGAAGCCACAAGAAGAGGATGGAACAACAGTACTACTTGGAACAATAATAATTCAAGATATAAGATATTGGCATAGTCAGGATCTCGCGGTGGTTACAATGGCCGGAGGGTGGTGGTGGAACAACGGAGGTAGAAGAAGGAACAGATATTCAGTTCATGTTGGTTATGAAAACCTAGATTCATGTTATTGATAAGGCTCAGAAAGCTGTGAAACGTGGAAGAATTTAGTTGTTTACACGATCGATTAGTAACTTTATACTATACAATAAATATATTTCTGTTTTTAATCTTTTAAAACTTATGTATTCCTTTTATTCTTTTATTTTTTATTTTATAGCAATAGGATAATACAAAATGTTTTGCGTTACTAATTAAGTTCTTACTCTTTGGTGGTATTACTTTTATCAAATTTTTTTTGGTTAAGAGTGCCTCTAAGAATCTTCATTAAGACATTCCCGACTCCGCTCATGTCAACATGACAACCTTTGCTAAATTATCGTAAATGCCCAACCACGTGACACCCTTAGGACGACTCCTAAGGCTCAAATGCATATACAGGCCCATACTAACATTAGCCCACAAAAATGACAAATCCAATCCACTTGGAAATGGAAGTCCCCCCTCTCTCTCTGTCCTTTTGCTTCTGCAACTTATGGCGTCCATAGCTCCTGACGCTTAAAACCCACTCGGAGATTCTTCACATCCGCAAGGTATGTATGTGCGCTCTTCTCTTTGCTTTCGATTGAACGCATGTTCATGTTTATGCTTATGCACCTAATTATTCATCTTTATCTTCAAGTTTGCTGAATTTTTCACTTCCTCTGAGCTTCGTTCTTAAAACCCACTACGAACATAATCATTAGGAAGATAGTCAGTACAAGTTTTGGTAAAGTTTTGCTGTTGTATGGCGACCCACTTGATTGTATGCTTTCATTTTTCATTACCCAACTGCGCTTTTCATGTTCACATGGTTAAAAATCTGTTCTTTGAATAAAATACCTGTTTTATTGAATGCTTATGTATTTGTTAATCCTGAATTCTGGAAAAAAAAGACTGTATTTTTATGCAGAAATTGGATAAGAAGTGTCTTTTTTTTTTTTTTTTCTTGTGAAAGTTGAATACGAAGCTCTTCAATATAATCCTTGTAGACATTGCTGGTCCATGTAAACCGCTCAAGATATTGGAAATTAGAGAAGACTAATGTTTTTGAATTCCGGATATTGTATTCGATGTCAGTTCCCCTTATTAGGAATTGATCAGGTAAACAATGAGTCCCCTTATCTATGATTTTTCGAATTCCATTCCGAGTGCTCCTTATTCTACTTGAGTGTTCAATCTAACTTCTCGGATGACTCGGTAGATGAAAACAGGTGAAGCAGCTTTATCATCGGGGTTCAGCTTCTCTAATTGCAGAACTAGTCTCTTGTGGAAGGTAACTGGGTTTGTTGCTTGCTGTCCTCGTTGTTGAGGCAAGCTAGAAAAATGTCGTACATGTACTTTACCTCTTGCTAACTTGGACGTTTTCATTTAAGAGTTTCATCACTTTTCTCTTTTTTTCTTCTAGAGAAATTCGCTACATCACGCGGTGGCTACAAGTCCATTCAATATCAAGTGCTCCTACAAGCAAAGTAGAAAGCCTCTAACTAGTTCAAAACGGGTTGAGAAGTAGGTTTGCTATCTTTCCTTGTAGTAAACATCTGATGTTTTTGTTGTTCAGTGGAATTGCTTCAAAGCACTGTTTCATCGTGCTTGATGACACTTTATTTTGATATGAATGTTTAGCTATAGCTGTTATGAACATTTATTTGGTTTTAGGCTGTCTTAGTGCTTTAAAAAGATGTACTTTGCATGAAATGTAGGAAAATAATCAAGAAGGCGGGAAAGAAAGAGCACCACTTATGGCAAAGAAAAGATTCAGCCGGGTCTGGGCAAAAGGCACTCAATCTCGTTAGAATTGTTAGTCTTTCTTCCGTTTCTTGAGTGTCATGTTTTTGCTTTTGCTCTTTCAAGCTTTATAAGTTTCTGAAACTATGATTTGGATCCTCTTTCTACTCTGTTTTCTTCATTAACATTAAGAATACAGGTTTCGAGTCTTCCTAATGAGAAAGAGACCATTTTTGGAGCATTAGATAAATGGGCAGCTTGGGAGACAGAGTTCCCATTGATTGCAGCAGCTAAGGCCTTGATAATCCTAAGGAAGAGGAGTCAATGGGTGCGCGTAATTCAGGTATGACACTTGCAGACTATACTTCAGATTATGTAGAATTTATACTGATTACTTTAGGCGCAACCTGAACCTAATGACCACCATTATCAAATTGCTTTCTAGATAATTAAAGCTTAGATGGATAAACAAGTGGAAATTTCACTTTTGAATTTTTTTTTTCAAATGCCATTGAATGTGACATACAAATTAGCTTGGTTTAATATGAGACCTACGTGATTCCTTTATAGGATAGCTCCATTTGGAATACACCTTAGCTTGGATCGCTCTGAGAACTAAATGCTTAAAAGCATAAATCTGCAAAAGTCCGCTTGACACGAAACTATAGATCATGATTTAACTTAGAGATATTCTTCAAGGTGGCTTTATGTGATTAATTTTGCCCATTTAAGCCTAAATTAACCGTACAAAACCAGCTGTGTTAGTTGTTGGATCGCCTCATTTTTTAAAGTACAGAAAATGCCTTCTGCTCTAGCTATGTGACAGTGAAAATTGCTGGTTGTATTAAGAGTGGCTAATCCATAGTGGTGGTTAGGTGGCAAAGTGGATGCTGAGCAAAGGCCAAGGAGCAACAATGGGAACGTATGACACCCTATTGCTGGCATTTGATATGGATCAGAGGGTGGATGAGGCTGAATCATTGTGGAACATGATTCTGCACACGCATACGCGCTCCATCTCTAGGCGGCTGTTTTCTAGGATGATCTCTCTGTATCATCATCATGACATGCAAAGCAAGATAATAGAGGTAATTCGACAATACCGTGCCTCTAGCACTTTGGCATTTCCTGAGAAATTCGACAATATTGTACTGTGTTCTGTATCTGATGTCTGCGTTAAAGGTGAATAAGATTTCATCTTGGTGCTAAGATTTAAATCTCTCCTAAAAATTCAGGTATTCGCAGACATGGAGGAGCTGGGTGTAAGACCAGATGAAGATACTGTCAGGAGAGTGGCACGCGCTTTTCAGGAACTAGGGCAAGAAGAGAACAAAAAACTTTTCTTAAGAAGATATCAGTGTAAATGGAAGTACATTCACTTTAAGGGTGAAAGAGTTAAAGTGAGGAGAACTAATGCATGGAATGAAGATGACAACTTAGGCAACTAAAATTGGACTTGCTGGGATGCACAATCTGATCCTGACATCTGTTTTCCCGTTCTCCATTTTTAACCCATAGATGAAGATATGTACAGATATAGGGTAAGATTCAATGCTACGTACTTGCTAAAGACAGTACTCAGTTGTACAATCTGATGGATTCGGTATGCAGATCATCTTAAATTTTTTGGATCTGGGTTCTCTATAGTAGTAGATTATCTTCTTTTAAATGCAGTAAATTGTTTGCAAATAGGTCATTTCCATTGTAGCTGATGAGCGCAAACCGCCAATGCAGCTGATACCTTTCTTTGCAGTTTGACAGTGTTTGCTTCGATCATGTACTCAGAATCACGATTGTTACTGAAGTTCTTCATTCTTTAAAGTTTGCAGATGGTAATACTTTCTTATTTTTCCATCTAAAAAAAAGATGAAATAGGTTTACGACTCCACAGAATAATATTATGCCCAATCCTTTTGCTCCGGCAACCCCTTCAAGTACTGCAATGTAAGAGTCCTCCTATCTCTATTTCTTTGTTCCTATGGTTTGGAATGACATCGAAATCTAAAAGAAATTAAAATGGTGACGAGTTCTTATGCTAACGACACTGCAATAGGACTCCTCACAGTATACAACCCATCAGTCCATGTGTACCACCCAAAGACGTACTCATCTTTGCTGTGCTTACTAAGCACCTCTCTTCTTGCTTTAACTGTTATGGTGAAGCTCTTCTTCTGCCCGACATGATCGAAGAACAATATGCTCGGGGATGCCTTAACGGAGATTCCCAAAGGTGGTTTGGCGGTAAAGAAGTAAATGCTTTTGCTGTTGCCGACGTTTGTGACTGTCCTCTTGATGATCATTGCGTCCTTAAGTTTGGGGACTGCAATGGAAGGGTAGTTCAAGTTGATTGCTGCCGGCGGTGATGTTGGACACTTGAACGTTGGGTCGAAGTCCTTGGCACCTCCTATGCTGCAAATGTACTGAAGATAGTCTTTGTATGAAGCATCATAGACAAGGCCGGGGTCTGCTGCCTTTGTGGGACGAAAGTGGCCAGCCCCATATGCAAAGGGAGTAGCAACACTTCCTGATTCATCATTCAATGGCAAACCCAAGTTGTTCATTATTCCAGCTGCAAGGCAAACAACAAAAAGTTAGAGACTATCAAACAATGTACTGGCTTTAAACAAGGGGGCCCTGCCTTGAAATTTTGTGGTATTTAGTTTACCTGTGGTCATGATAGCAGATCTTATGGCAGCACCGCTCCAAGTAGGGTGGATTGCTTTGACGAGTGCTGCTGCAGCTGCTACATGAGGGCAAGACATTGAAGTTCCGGAGTATATATTATACTGAACAACTCGGCGATCTATACCCGACAACTTGGTTGGCGGATCAGCCTCAGTCCACGCTGCCAATATATTCAGCCCTGGAGCTGTGATATCCGGCTGCCAAGGTGAAGGAAGAGAGGTTTAGTTTCAAAATCATTAAATACCTAAACTTTAGTACGTAATAGTTTCTTTTAAACTGTTCCTTGCCAACATTAACAGTTGTCAGAGAGATTGCGCTAATTAGGTAACAAAAATAAATACGTCACGAAATTTACCTTGAGAAAATTAGGGTCAATGATATTGGGGCCTCTACTAGTAAATGCAGCCATGAAAGGAGCTGGCTTTCTATTCAACACAGTCCTTGCTGGTATAATAGTAGCCGTTGGAATTTTGGTAGAGTTGATGTATTGAAGAATTCTATTGGCATCTTTATAAAGCACCGAAGTGGCAGGAATAACATGAGCATCGCATGCAATTTCAACCCCATTTTCTGCACTGTTTCCTAATATAAATCCAACTCCTCCTGCCCTTTTCACTTCCATGCCTTTTACAACTCTCATCCCACTTCCTCTCATGCACAAAACTATCTTTCCCTTCACCTTCTCAGGTGAAAGAGAGCCTGGTAGGCATTGTCTGCAGCCACAATATTGAGTTTTTTCTACAAGTCATTATCTAATTAAAATCACTATCTAACTACTATAACATAGATTAAGTGAAGAGAGATATGCATAAATAGAACCGATTATAGACTTTGAATTATAAACAGAAACTGAGGAAATTCTAAACAGACTATAAGCCGTATATAAACCATGGTTAAGTGCCCTTTTATATGTGGTTTAGTGTCTGTCAGTTCTAATTAAGTCTTAAATCAGTTCTGATTGTGCATATTTTCTTTAAGTAAATCATAGAGTAAACGTTACCCTGCCATATCTTTGGGTACACCAGAGTTAATAACATCTGCAGCATATACTAAAGGGTACTTCTTATTCTCTTCCAGCTTGCCTGGTGTCACTGTTTCTCCCTGAATGTTAATTCAATCAAACATTTTAGAAAGTACCAAACTGTACTGCATGTCTTATAGGAAAAAAAAAAATTGCTTCCAGCGACAGTGATAATGAGAAGAAGTGCTTCCTACAAAAGTATTCCCGAAATGTGCCCTAATTCAAATGCTAACAAATCGTACTTTCCAATTATATGTAATCTTTTAAATTACCTCAATTGTGATCCCATTTCCAAGCACAACTGGCGCGATGAATGCCCGGTCGAGGCTACTAGCACCAACTGTGATGATCCATGGAGCTGAATTTACAAGAGTAGATGGGGCAGGGCCAGAGTTCCCAGCACTACATGCCACCACAATGTTCTTCTTTGTGGCATGCAATGCTCCAATAGCAATGCCATCATTGGTGTAATTTACAGGTTGGCTTAGCCCAACTGATATGCTCAGTACATCAACACCATCACCTATTGCATCATCAATGGCTGCAAGCATGTCTTCCTCAAAGCATGTGTTGCCGCCCACCTTGGAATGGCCTGGTATCGCCCAACACACTTTATATATGGCAAGGCGCGCCAATGGGGCACCACCAGAGGCGGTGCCTAGGGCAAAACCACCCAGGGCTGCGGCATTTGGAACGACTCGGCCTGCAACGGTTGAACTTGTGTGTGTGCCGTGGCCATCCATGTCACGCGGTGATCGGTAATCCTCCGAGGCATTTACTACATGGCCATAGTATTGCTCGTAACCTTTGGGGTAGTAGCGTGCTCCTATCAGCTTCCTGCGCAACAATCCATATCAAAGGTGAACTTGGGATCATTTACTTGTGAGTATAAGACTTTAAGCACAATGTTTGATTCTTACTTTGCAAGTTTCACTATAATGAATACCCAAGTTCCGCACAAGATTTTATTTATATTAGTTAGATAGTAAGAAAATAATTCTACCAATTGGGTTTTGCTCCATGTAGTAATGAGTTAACCAATGAGTTTTTAATTATGATATGTTACATGCAGCCACAGCATGTATATGTACATGTGCATGCTATATAAAAGGTAGTAGGGATTTTTCATGTAAAAGGTAGGGATGTTCTATATGTGCATGCTATGATTTACCTAATGATCTATGTGTACATAATATCATTGAATAGGAAATATATGGGTCTTGTATGGTATTGTCTCTTATTTCTCCTATAAAAGTAGTTGGGATTTTCTATTTCAAGATAAAAACTTTTCATGCAGTATGATGAGCGAGATAAGAAGGCATATACACTCACATATTTGAATACAAACCTGAATAAACAATATGTCAATCTTACTAGTACTTTAGTTGAAGACGATATAACAAAATAACTGTTGCGAACTTTGGGAAATCAAACCCAAAACATGGATTAAACATGTAATTTGGACTTCGTACATATATAAAAGTCTATTTGTAGTCTGTCTTTATTAATTTAGTTGGTACACATCAGTATAATTTGTTGTACTACTTTTATTAACCCTTATCAGAGATATGACCTATAATTTAAGTAAGCAACTTATACATTTTTTGTTATCTGTACAAATAGTAAGTGTTCAATTTCTGGTACATGCAGTAACATTTGCAGCGTGAAGCTGAAATCTCAAAGGTGAGCACTGAACACACACCACCGAGCTGCCCCATTGCAATCGTTCTCTTTCTGACAATAAGAAAAAGTTGAGAACTGTGCAACTGAATAATTGGGTTTAGGTCATTTTCCGGAAAGCAAATAGCTAGGCTGACTCCAAATGCAATGGTCACAGACAGGCCACCAAATAACGATAAGGAAGTTCACAAGACTCGAAACAAAAGAATCCAAAGCAATCAAATCAATTATTTGTTTGCAAACAAACAAGCCAGTGATCATGCGTGTTTGCTGGGTCAGAAATTCTTTTATAACTCAATTCTCAATAATCCCAAACAACTATTTATCAATTATACAAGTCAAGCGGATGCTGTCATTGAGTCTTGCTCTTTTTTTGGGTGCAGGTAATGGAGAATTGTACAACATGAACGTGCAGGCCTAAATACTGGTATCTTGATTTTTACGATAAACGTTTACCCCTTGTATATTTTGTTATATAAAATATAGGATTATATACTGTAAAATGTAGTTAATGATAAAATTCTCTATCTCTAATTCCTTGGTATCATCAAATGCAATCTCACTACGATTACATATTCCCAAAACTGACTTTTTGCAGACCCAATTTCCCCAAGATACGCAGGAACAACTTGTATGATGGAAAACTAAACCACCCCATAGTAGAAAAACTTAAAAGGAAAGTCTAAATTGAGGAGTGCAAATGAATCTACTGTTTCTTTGAACTGATTACAACTATTAATGTTTGTGTGAGCCACAAAGTAAGAAAGCCAGAATCACATCGTGCGTGCAACTCATCTTAATAATTCTCCACTCCTCTTAACAATGGTATAGCTAGTGAAACATTTTATTTGTTATTTTCAATTTCAATCCTCACATGGAACATGACCTATAAATTGTAGGATAGATAAAATTAAGAAATGGAGTTGAATTTTCTTAAGTTTGTGATCTGGAATTTGGAAGGCATGCAGGGCCATGCTGGAGGGCAATTTGCTAATGCTTTTTTAGATATTGACATCACTACGGTTCCTTCTTGGCTCATTTTATATCCCTTAGTGTGGGGTCTAGCTAGTCCCCTCTAGGGTAAGGGAGATATTTGTATGAAATTAGATGTAACTCTATCGTCACGTATATCATAGATATAGACAAAAATATACACAGTCCATTTCATATAAGTATTAGCTAGAGATAAAGATACAAAAATATTTTAGAATAAAATGCGTCCAAAGCGCAAAGCTAGCCTTATGT